TCGGGCTCCCTTACTGGCCTCCACGTTCCCTCGTTCTCCAGGAACCTGGTTGGTGTCGGCTGTCTCCAGGACCTCGGCGTCACCACCACGTTCCCCGGGCACGAGCGGTTCGCTGTCTGTTCTGAGGCTGTCTCAGGTTCCCCCCTTGCGACGTTCCCCCGGGACCCGGTGTCCGGTCTGTTTACCCTACACACCGCTTCCCCCCCGGTTGGTGCGTCCTCCCAGGTCGCTGCAGCTTGCTCGTGTCGGTCCCTCACTCACCCCTCCCTTCTCTGGCACCACCGCTTAGGTCACCCTGCTCTCCCGCGTCTGCGTCACATGTCCCAGCACGGTCTTGTCTTAGGTCTCCCCGCGTCGCTCCCTGCCCTTCCTCCCTCGACTGCGCCACCGTGCACGCCTTGCGTCGAGGGTCGGCTCCGCCGTGCTCCTCACTCCTCCTCGCTGCGTCCTGCTACTGCCCCCCTTCAGACCCTGCACTTGGACGTTTGGGGCCCTGCCCCCGTCCCCGGACCGCGCGGTGAGCGCTACTTCCTTGTGCTCGTTGACGACTACACGCGCTACACCACGGTGTTTCCCCTGGAGCGGAAGGCCGACGTGCCCGACGTTCTTCTCCCGTGGGTTGTAGCTGCGCGTCTCCACCGCGGTCTCCCCGTGTTGTGTCTCCACTCCGACCGTGGCGGCGAGTTCGCCTCTGGTCGGCTTGGACAGTTCTGTCGTGCGGAGGGCATCACCCAGTCGTACACGTTGCCGGACTCGCCACAGCAGAATGGGGTTGCTGAGCGCCGCATCAGCTTGGTCATGGAGGTCGCCCGTACCTCCATGATCCATGCCGATGCCCCCATTTTCTGTGGCCGTTCGCTGTTCGCTACGCGGCTCACCAGCTTAACCTGTGGCCACGCTCCCAGCGGCCGCAGGTTTCGCCGACCCTCCTTTGGACCGGGTCCCCCGGTGACGCGTCTGCGTTCCACGTCTGGGGCTGCCTTGCTCACGTTCGTGCCTCTGGCACGGACAAGCTCACTGCCCGCACTGTCCCCTGTGTCTTCCTCGGTTTCCCCCTGGACTCGTCTGACTGGCTTTTCTACCACCCGCCGTCTCACCGCTTCCTCCACTCTCGTGACGTCACCTTTGACGAGTCCGTCTCCTTCTACCGCCGCTTCCCTCACCGAGGTCTCCCAGTTGCCCCCCCCTTTTCCTTGCTCCCTCTCCCCCGGTAGCCCCTGCCCCTCTCCCGCCTCGTCCTGCCCCGTCTGGTGTCTCCCACGTCACTCCCCTCCCGTCGGTTGTCCCCGTTGAGGAGTCTGCTGACTCTGGTGGTACCCCCGGTCCGTCCTTGCCGCGTCCCCCTTCCCCAGTGCCTCCGCCCCCACTGTCGCAGTCGCCGACCCCGCTGCCGCCGCCGTCGCCGTCGCCGCCGCAGCCGTCGCCGCTGTCGCCGCCACTGCCGCCGTTGCTCTCGGCCCCTGGGGGTGCTGGTGTGGAGGAGGGTGTTCGTCCTGCGGCTTCTGGGGGTGCCGCTGGTGTTGGAGGGGGTTCTCGCTCTTGGGGTGTTGGTTCTGGGGGTGCTGCTGTTGAGTGTTCTGCCGACGGTCGTTCTGCCTCTGCTGGTCCCAGAGTTCCGGCCCAGCCGTCGTCGCCGCCACAGCAGCCGTCGCCGCCGGTTTCCGCTCTCCGCCTGCTCGGCCTTCCCTCCCCGGACCGCGCGCCGGTGTCTCCCCCACCGCCTCCTGACCTCCCTGTCTACGGTCCTGTGTTCCCGCCGCCAGACTCGTCTCCGGCCCGTCTTCCTCCTCGTTCCCCTCCTGTGTCTCCTCCGCTGTCCCCTGACCCTACCCCTCCGTCTCACGTTTGGGCTCGCCGTCCCTCCCGTGCTCGTCCCGTCTCTCCTGTCCTGCCCACCCACCCTATGTTGCTCCGTTCCCACTCGTCTCGTCCTCCCCTCCTCCCGTCCCCTCCTCCCTCGTCCCTTGCTGTTGCACCTCCTCCGTTCTCTGACTACCTCCGTGCTTCTCGTCCCCTTGTCCCTCGGGTCCTTGCCTCTCTTGTTACCGACCCTGCTGTTCCTGTCTCGCGCCTTGACGCGCTTGTCGCTGCTGTCGCTGACTTCGCTTCTACCCGCCGCCTTGACTACGCTACCGCTCTGGTCTCTGACCCTGCCCGTCCTCTGTCCGTCGGGGGTGCTCCTGCCCTTGGCAGTGACGTCCTAGAGGACAGGCAGTACGAGCTGGCTTTCCTTTCCGAGGCTGCTCCCCATCTCTGCTCCATGCTGTTAGTCCCTGAGGGTGACCCAGACGCCTTCGACATCCCGACCCCTCGCACCTACGCTGAGGCCACCTCGGGACCTTGGGCCTCTCAGTGGATAGCTGCCATGGAGCAGGAGATGGCATCTTGGAGATCCACCGGCACTTACTCGACGCAGTTCCCCCGCCTGGGGTGAACGTAGTCGATGGTCGGTGGCTCTTCAAGGTGAAGCGCCCCCCTGGAGAGCCGCCTGTCTTCAAGGCGCGCTACGTGGCCAGAGGTTTCAGTCAGCGCGAGGGAGTTGACTTCTTCCAGACCTTCGCCCCGACCCCGAAGATGACCACTCTTCGGGCGCTGCTACACGTAGCAGCACAGCGTGACTACGAGCTTCACTCTCTCGACTTCTCTACTGCCTTTCTTCAGGGCAGCCTACACGAGCAGGTCTACCTGCGCCGACCACAGGGCTTCACTGGTACCTTCCCTCCTGGGACCCAGTGGCTTCTCAGGCGCCCGGTCTACGGCCTGCGTCAGGCTCCCCGCGAGTGGCACGACACGCTACGTGCCACGTTAGCAGACCTGCAGTTCTTTCCGTCCTCTGCTGACCCTTCACTGTTTGTGCGTTCCGGCCAGACTCCGTTCTACATCCTTGTCTACGTAGACGACCTGGTCTTCGCTACTCCTGACAGGGACGCACTGGCCTCTGTGAAGGCTGAGCTGCTGAAGAGACACACCTGCACTGACCTTGGAGAGCTGCGTCGCTATCTTGGCCTGCAGATCTCTAGGGACAGAGCAGCACGCACCATCACTCTGACCCAGTCACACTTGGTGCGTCAGGTCCTTCAGAGGTTCGGTCTTCAGTTCTCCTCCGCACAGCCCACACCTCTACCCGTAGACCATGGGCTCTCTGCTCCCGTTCCTGAGGAGCCAGTAGAGCCCAGTGGCCCCTACGCAGAGCTGGTGGGTTGCCTCATGTACCTGATGACTTGCACTCGCCCAGATCTCGCATACCCTCTCAGCATCCTGGCTCGCTTTGTGGCTACAGGCAGACACCGACCTCAGCACTGGTCTGCCGCTAAGAGGGTTTTGCGTTATCTTGCTAGTACATCAGGCATGGGGTTAGTGCTAGGAGGACGCAGGCCAGTGGTCCTTACTGGGCACACAGACGCTTCTTGGGCAGACGACGCTGAGACGCTCAGGTCGTCGCAGGGCTACTGTTTTAGCCTTGGTTCGGGTGCTATCTCTTGGAGATCCACTCGCTCGTCGTCTGTGGCTCAGTCTAGCTGTGAGGCTGAGATCTACGCTGGTGCCATGGCGGCACAGGAGCTCCGCTGGCTGACCTTCTTGCTCACAGACTTAGGTGAGCGGCCTAGCTCTGCCCCGGTCCTGTACGCTGACAACAGGGCCATGATACTCCTGTGTCAGGAGCCTCGGCTTGAGGGCAGAGCGAAGCATATCCAGCTGCGGTACTTCCTCCTGCGCGAGCTACAGCAGCGCCGCCAGGCCCGCGTAGTTCACTTGGCCTCAGGTGCCAACACAGCTGATATCTTTACTAAGGCGCTTGCGCCTAAAGATCATCAGCGGCACTGTGTACAGCTTGGTCTTGTTCCTATAGCTGCTCCCCTGTTAGGATCCTGATTGTGTACTCTCTATTATATATGCTTGTCAGACTGGCCTTGTGGCCTTACCTCCAGTGGCTGGACTAGTAGTGCCACCCTGGCTTGCTTCAGTTTTGGTTGTATTCTTGCTGACTGGTCTCCAGACCCCTGCCTCAGTGGTTGGACTAGTAGTGCCGCCCTGAGCTGTTTGCTTCTTGTTTAGTTTCACCCCTTGTCTAGCCTAGGGGGTGTGTCAACTTATACATATTATCTATGTAGAAGTTATAGGCTAGACTGAGGTATGCTTCTAGTGAGTACAACCAACTAGTATTTGTTCTAGGTTTCCACCTCTAGTAATCATTCGTTTCTACGTTAACAGTGCCGCCCTGAGCTGCTTCTTTCCCTGTTAGGCACTGCCCCTATATAGTCTAGGGGGTGTGTCAAATGTAACTTAGATCGTTACTGTAGACTATACTGGATTGTGCCTTTGATGGTACAACACCCTAGTCTTTATACCCTTGTACTCACACATTCTAGCTCAATTATTCTTTCTGACAGGGTCATGGTATTGTCGTATACCCTTTACAAGCATATACCATGACATGGATGGACAAGTAGTATTGCCTTGTTTGTAGAGATGCATGAGAGGTTGCTTCTTGGGCGAGTGTTTGAGTTGTTGCCACAGGACCTAAATCGATGCGTTGCCCCAAACAGTGCAAAATGTGATTATGAGAAATTGGAGACAAGTAGGAATTGGCATAGAAGAATGGAAGGCAATGACGACACTTAGAACGTGTTCCTAGGAGCCTCTTCCCAGGCAACCTCTCCCCAGACTCACGCGCCACCTGGACCACTTTTCGGAATACTCCTGTTTCATATTTGCGTTCCATCGCTCTCAACCACGTAAAACCGGCTGGCGTCGAAATTTTACTGTGCAGATTCGCGCTTGTCTGAAAATCTGCTCGTCTGAAAAGAGGTTTTAAAACACGCCCCTGAATCTCAGGAAGCCGAATCTCACTTCGCACTTCGCGGAATCGCACTGAAGCATTTTGCGTCAAAATTTGCGACATTGTAGCACACTCTGAATCTGCTTGCTGTCCACAAAGTTGCATCGGTCTATATCGCATCCACTAGTATTTCCCTCCGACCAGCCGGGAGAAACTCCAGAAGCCTCCCCCTCGTGTCCCCCCAGACCAAAAGTTGCCTTGTGGCTTAACTGCCAATACCGGCGCCGCCGCCGCCGCCGCCGCTCACAATTAGGTACCAATAGTCGCAGCCATGCAGGGGGTTGCGGCAGCCGCAATCGCTCCACCATGCTGCGGCGCGCTAGTACCTTCTGCGCGGTTCACTAGCGCCCGCGCCAGCCTCACGCCGTCCACGCAGCTGCGCTTCTCCGCCTGCCGCGTTCCCCGCGCGGCGGCTGCCGCCGCGAGTGCGAGCTCCTCCGGCGGGCGGCTTCCGCAGCAGCTGCAGCAGCAGCGGAAGCACTCCGCTTCTCCCCCGGCCGGCTTGCGCTCCGCTCCGCCTACCGAGCCCTTCGCGCCGTACGCGGTCGCTCCTTTCGCGCGCTCGAATGCCGCCACTGCCGCCCTTCTTGCTGTAGTAGCGGCGGCTGCGGCGGCGTCGGGAGCGGCGGGGCCAGCGCCGGGTGGGGACGAGGTGAAGGCAGCAGAGGCGGCTGCCGCAGCAGCAGCACCTTCCATCCCGGTATAGAAAAAAAAGAATATTTTTTTGGAGTTTTTTTTTTTAAGGCCCCTTCCATTCCTAGCCGCGCTTCTCTTGTACTCACTCCCCGCTTTGCTCTCCCTGCCCCTCTGCCCGTTCTGCCCAAGTTTCCTTTCCCCCTAGTGCCCGCTTTGCCTGCTGTGCCTTTGACACTACATTGCCTGTTGCCTGCGTCTGACTCGTCCCCATGTTTTGCTGTTGCTTCTGCTGTTGCTGTTGCTCTGTCAGGCCCCTGCAGCAGCAGAAGAGTCCTCTGGCAGCTGGTGGGACACGTGGAAGGTGCAAATGAACCCCTAGGGGTGATGCGGTGCTGTGGTGTGGTGGTGTTGTATGTGGATGGGGGTGGTGAGTGAGTGAGTGGTGAGTGCGTTAGTGAGCTCGCGGGTGGGTGCTGTTCTGCCATGCAGCGAGATTTTATTGCTACATGGTGCCGCAATGCACCCCTAGAACCGTCAGCGTCGCCCCGCTCTTGCTCCCTTGCCACCCCTCAACTCTCCTCTCTCCCCTTCCCCCCCCCCCCCCCCCCCCGCCCCCTCCTCTTGCTGAAGGAGAAGGTGGCGAAGCTGGGACTGGTTTCTTAGGCGGCCCACACCACGCCTCTCCCCTCCCTCACACCTCACATCCACTCTACTACGTGCAGGTGCGGTCGCAGGGCCAGTGGGGCTGGCCGTTGAGGCGCCCCAACTCCCATCCCCCTCCCCCCCGGCATCCCGTGCAACTCTCATCCCCCTCCAACTCCTTGCCTGCAAGCGCGGTCGCAGGGCCTCAAGGAGAAGGTGGCGAAGCTGGGTCTGGGATCTTAGGCGACCCACACCCCCTTCCTCCTCCCTCTCCCCCACCTAACACCCCCCGCCCACCCACCCTACCTTCCTGCGTGCAGGCGCGGTCGCAGGGGCTGAAGGAGAAGGTGGCGAAGCTGGGGCTGGCGGCGGTGCTGGCGTACGGGCTGTTTGATGGCATCACCTACACCACCTTCTTCGTGCTCGCCTTCCTCGGCTACGAGAAGAGCACCGGACTCAACCCCGCTGCCAACCTCAAAGCGCTCCTTGGGGTGGGTTGTGCTGAGAATTGATACGTATGCGTGGCGTATCTGTTCTGGTGCAGTTTTCTGCAACCAGTGGCCGGCCATTGTTTTCTTTTCTTTCGTGTTTGTGTTTGTCCTGACATCCTCTGGCCTCGGTGCATTGGTTCCCGTCTCAGTTTTTTCACAGTGCATGGATCGCCAATCATGCTACGCAATTTTCCTCTCCTTTGGGTTGTATTGCATTGCATGCAGATTGTTGTTCTGATGTGGACTGGGAATAATGTGACCCGGCCGTTCCGGGTGGCGGGGGCAGCAGCAGTGGCTCCCTTTCTTGACGAGGCTCTGAAGAAGTTCCAAAAAAAGCTCAATCTCCCCAGCCAGTTCTTGGCATTTGTCCTCGTGGCTGGGACATTCGGGGCCATCTGCTTGTCTGTAGTTGGGCTCCTCATCCTGTCACGCATAGGGGGTTAGGTAGAGAATTCGATACAAAGTTTCATTTAGAGGGATGGCAATACGGTATTCTGTTAATTAGGGAACATTCCCGTTTGTTGGAAATATCTCAAAGGACTTGAGCGTTTCTGAAGTGTAACACTGCACTCGAGGAAGACTACAAGGGAGCACGCGAGTCAACGGAGGTTACATGAGGGTGCGGACAAAGAATGCGAAAAGACTCGAAAGGTCGCAACTGGAGGTTGCGACTGACCGTTACAACATCACGGATGGTAACCGAAGCGGCAATCGAGTCGCTGTGCGACTCGATAAACCGTTCCTGTAACTGTACTCTACAACTGCTTTCTTATCTTCTATATATTGCTGTATGCTTGTTTCTTTAATCAATCACTTGTTCTCACATACTAGTACAAGGGTTCAACTGCCTCAACTTCCGCTGCACTACTCCAAGTCTCTACAAACTGGGACTTAGTCTCTGCAAAAGATCCTAAGGGCTTTTTCTCAGCCCAACACCGTTTAGGTTTATTATAGTCGTTTCCTTCTTGAATTTGAAATGCGTATGCAAGATGCTTCTTTGAGTCGACACAGCAGCATGTGTTGTCATAAGACCGTTCAATGTACGGGATCATGTCGCCATACCAAGCTTGTTATGAATGGAACTGCCGAGTAGCACGGTGTCAAACATGTGTATTTGTCATGTTTGTATAGACTGTATAGGGTCGCCTCTTAGAGGGTACAACACTTAAGTATATCTGTGTGTACTCTCTCTCTATTATCATTTCACTTCTCTAATTTGTTATGGTATCACGCGTAGGTTAGGATCCCCTTATCAGAATTGGAGAAGAGAATGATGGATACAGTGACAGTACACACAAATATACCTAAGTGTTGTACCCTCTAAGAGGCGACCCTATACAGTCTATACAAACATGACAAATACACATGTTTGACACACCCCCTAGACTGCATAGGGGAATGTCCTAAACAAGCAGCTCAGGGCGGCACTACTAGTCCAACCTCTGAGACAAGGGTCTGAGAGACCAGTCAGAAGGAGTACAGACAAGGTAAGAACAAGAGCAGGGCGGCACTACTAGTCCAGCCACTGGGAGAGGACACAAGTCCAGTCTGAGTATACGTATAAAGGACAGTACAAAGTCAAGGTCCTAGCAAGTGAGAGGCTACAGGAACTAGACCAAGCTGTACACAGTGCCGCTGATGATCTTTAGGCGCAAGCGCTTTCGTAAAGATATCAGCCGTGTTGGCACCTGAGGCCAAGTGTACTACGCGAGCCTGACGTCGCTGCTGTAGCTCACGCAGGAGGAAGTACCGCAGCTGAATGTGCTTTGCTCTGCCCTCGAGTCGAGGCTCCTGACACAGGAGGATCATGGCCCTGTTGTCAGCGAACAGGACCGGGGCAGAGCTAGGCCGCTCACCTAAGTCAGTGAGCAAGAAGGTCAGCCAGCGGAGCTCCTGTGCCGCCATGGCACCAGCGTAGATCTCAGCCTCACAGCTGGACTGCGCAACAGACGAGGAGCGGGTAGCTCTCCACGAGACGGCACCTGAGCCAAGGCTGAAGCAGTAGCCCTGGGTAGACCTGAGTGTCTCAGCGTCGTCTGCCCACGAAGCGTCTGTGTGTCCAGTAAGGACCACTGGCCTGCGTCCTCCTAGCACTAACCCCATGCCCGATGTACTAGCAAGATAACGCAAAACCCTCTTAGCGGCAGACCAGTGCTGCGGTCGGTGTCTGCCTGTGGCCACAAAGCGAGCCAGGATGCTGAGAGGGTATGCGAGATCTGGGCGAGTGCAAGTCATCAGGTACATGAGGCAACCCACCAGCTCTGCGTAGGGGCCGCTGGGCTCTACCAACTCCTCAGACCCTGGAGCGGAGAGTCTGTGGTCTACAGGCAGAGGGGTGGGCTGTGCAGAGGAGAACTGAAGGCTGAACCTCTGAAGGACCTGGCGCACCAAGTGTGACTGAGTCAGGGTGATGGTGCGCGCAGCTCTGTCCCTGGAGATCTGCAAGCCAAGGTAACGGCGCAGTTCTCCAAGGTCAGTGCACGTGTGTCTCTTCAGCAGCTCTGCCTTCACGGAGGCCAGTGCGTCCCTGTCTGCTGTGGCAAAGACCAGGTCGTCGACGTAAACAAGGATGTAGAACGGAGTCTGGCTAGCATGAACGAAGAGTGGAGGGTCTGCGGAAGACGGAAAGAACTGCAGGTCGGCAGGCGTAGCACGGAGAGTGTCGTGCCACTCACGGGGAGCCTGGCGCAGGCCGTAGACGGGGCGCCGCAGGAGCCACTGGGTCCTAGGGGGGAAGGTGCCAGTAAAGCCCTGAGGACGACGCAAGTAGACCTGCTCGTGTAGGCTGCCCTGAAGGAAGGCAGTGGAGAAGTCGAGGGAGTGGAGCTCGTAGTCACGCTGAGCAGTTAGGTGTAACAGAACCCGAAGAGTAGTCATCTTCGGGGTCGGAGCGAAGGTCTGAAAGAAGTCCACCCCCTCACGCTGACTGAAGCCTCTAGCCACATAGCGCGCCTTGAAGACAGGCGGCTCTCCAGGAGGGCGCTTCACCTTGAAGAGCCAGCGGCCATCGACTACGTTCACCCCAGGTGGAGGAACTGCGTCGACGAAGGTGCCGGTGGATCTCCAAGATGCCATCTCCTGCTCCATGGCAGCTATCCACTGCGAGGCCCAGGGTCGCGAAGTCGCCTCAGCGTAAGTGCGAGGGGTCGGGATGTCGAAAGCGTCTGGGTCACCCTCAGGGACTAGCAGCATGGAACAGAGATGGGGAGCAGCCTCGGAGAGGAAAGCAAGCTCAAACTGGCGGTCCTCCAGGACGTCACTGCCAAGGGCAGGAGCACCCCCGACAGACGGAGGACAGGCAGGGTCGGAGACCAGAGCGGAGGCGTAGTCAAGGCGGCGGGTAGAGGCGAAGTCAGCGACAGCAGCGACAAGAGCGTCAAGGCACGAGGTCGGAACAGACGGGTCGGTAACGAGAGAGGCAAGGACCCGAGGAACAAGAGGACGAGCGGCACGAAGGTAGTCGAACAGAGGGGGTGGTGCAACAACAAGGGAGGACGGAGGAGGCGACGGCAGAAGGGGAGGACGAGACGCGTGGGAACGAAGCAACATAGGGTGGGAGCGCAAGACAGGCGAGGCAGGACGAGCGCGGGAGGGACGGTGAGACCAGACGTGCGACGGAGGAGTCAGGTCAGCAGACAGAGGAGGGGACATAGGAGGGGAACGAGGGGGGAGACAGGCCGGGGACGAGTCCGGCGGAGGGAAGACAGGGCCGTAGACAGGAAGAGGAGGAGACGGCCGTGGAGGAACCGACGCAGGGTCGGGGGACGGAAGGCCGAGCAGGCAAAGGGCTGACACCGGCGGGGACTGCTGCTGCGGCGGCACAACGGCGACACCGGGACCGCAAGCTGCTCCTCGGCTACCACCGGCACACTCCACACCAGCACCCCCAGAGGGACCACCCCTAGGGCTACCGAGACGAGCACCCCCAGAGTCAGCGAACGGGTGCTGCGACGGCGGCGGCGGCGGCGGCGGCCGCGACAACGACGCCTGCAGCGGCGGCAGCGGCGGTGGAGGGGGGGACTCGGGAGAGGACGCCAGGGGAGGGGTGGCTGGCGAGGACTGAACCGGAGGGCCACCTGAGTCAGAAGACTCCTCAATCGGGTCCACCGACGGAAGCGGGGTGACGTGGGACACACCAGAGGGGGCGGGACGGGGAGGAGGAGGAGAAGGGGCAGGGACTACCGGGGAAGGAGGGACTAGGAACAGGGGGGGGGTAACTGGGGGACCACGGTGGGGAAAGCGACGGTAGTAGGAGACGGACTCGTCAAAGGTGACGTCACGAGAGTGAAAGAAGCGGTGAGACGGCGGGTGGTAAAAGTGCCAGTCGGACGCGTCAAGGGGAAAACCGAGGAAGACGCAGGGAAGGGTGCGGGCAGTGAGCTTGTCTGGGCCCTGTAGCGCCCCTCGTGGGCCCCGTCGCGCCCCTCCCAGGCCCCGTCGCGCCCCTCCTGGGCTCCGTAGTGCCCCTCCTGGGCCCCGTCCCGCCCCTCCTAGGCCCCGTAGCGCCCCTCCTGGGCCTCGTCGTGCCCCTCCTGGGCCCCGTACCGCCCCTCCTGGGCCGCGTCGAGCCCCCTCCTGGGCCCCGTCATGCCTTCAGGCCCCGTCGCACCCGCCCAGCCCCGTCGCACCAGCCCGGCCCCGTCACGCCCGCCCGGCCCCGTCGCACCCGCCCGGCCCCGTCGCCCCCTGCCCGGCCCCGTCGCAGCCGCCCGGCCCAGTCGCACCCGTCCGGCCCTGTCGCGCCCGCCCAGCCCCGGTGCGCCCCTCCTGGGCCACCGTCCTGCTCGCCTGGCCCCGTCGCACCGGCCCGGCCCTGTCGAACCGCCCGGCCCCGTCGCACCAGCCCGGCCCCGACGCACCCGCCCGGCCCCGTCGCACCAGCCCGGCCCCGTCGCGCCCGCCCGGCCCCGTCGCACCTGCCCGGCCCCGTCGCACCCGCCCGGCCCCGTCGCACCAGCCCGGCCCCGTCGCGCCTGCCCGGCCCCGTCGCACCCGACCGGCCCCGTTGCACCGGCCCAGCCCCTGCACTCGTCCCTGCCCCGGCCCCGGTCCTCCTCGCTGGTACGGTTCTCCCCCCCCCCCCGCCCTGCACTGCACTGCCCTGCACCGTACTGCCCCGCACTGCACCGCCCCGCACCACCCTGTACTGCACGGCACCGCACTCCACCTTGCTGCACTGCCCTGCACCGCACTGCACTGTTCCTGATGGCGGCGGAGCTTCGCTTCGACGCTGAAGGCCTGCCTCTGGAGTTCGAGGCGTGGCTTGCCGACCTCCGTCGCCAACTCACTGGCCAGCGGCAGGATGGTGAACCGCTTTCCGCACACCTTAACGGTACGCTCCCCTGCCCAGACCCCCCTGCTTTTCTGCCCGCTGACTCCACACCCACTGAGCGCGAGTCCACTGCTGCCACTGCCCGTGCGCGCTCTGTCTGGCTTTCTCGCGATGCTGTCGGCCAGCTTGCCATTAGCAACGCCCTTCCCCCGTCCGAGCGCCCTCGCTTTAGGTCTCTCACTACTGCTCAGGCATACTTAGATGCTGT